GGGGGCGGCGGCGCCTCGTCCACTCAGGCGGCTGCGTTCGGGACCCTCCGGCCCGCACGAGGGACGAACTGACTGACGTACCTCGCCCGCCCCCGCCCCCGCTTCATCTACCCTTGGGCTTCCTGGGCTCCCGGGGCTCACTCCTGGAGCGCCTTCTCTCCTTACACCTCTCCTCGGCCCTTTCTCTCCCAGGCACCTCAGCCGGCGGCGGCGGCGGCAGCAGCAGCAGCAGCATCGAGCGGCGGGAGCGGGCGGCCTCTGAGACGATGAAGTGCAAGCCGAACCAGACGCGCACCTACGACCCGGAGGGGTTCAAGAAGCGGGCGGCGTGCCTTTGCTTCCGGAGCGAGCGCGAGGACGAGGTGCTGTTAGTGAGTAGCAGTCGGTACCCGGACCGCTGGATCGTGCCGGGCGGGGGCATGGAGCCCGAGGAGGAGCCGGGCGGTGCGGCAGTCCGAGAGGTGTACGAAGAGGCGGGAGTCAAGGGGAAGTTAGGCCGGCTCCTGGGCATTTTCGAACAGAACCAAGACCGCAAGCACAGAACCTACGTGTACGTACTGACTGTCACTGAGATTCTGGAGGATTGGGAAGATTCGGTTAGCATTGGGAGGAAGCGAGAGTGGTTCAAAATCGAAGATGCGATCAAGGTTCTCCAGTGCCACAAGCCCATGCATGCCGAATATCTGGAAAAACTAAAGCTGGGCGGTTCCCCAACCAGTGGAAACTCCGTGGCCCCGTCCCTGCCACAGAGCGATCCCTAGTATGTACGACTCCTGCACAGACTTCTGCGTTCCGCCTACCTTAGAATAAATAGTGCCCGGAGCACCTCTCCCTCCTTGTGCGGTCTCACGGGGAGGAGGCGGGGGGGGGGGGCTTCTTTTGTTTCCTTGGCAGACCTCTGAATCACGCTTGCAAACTGTCTCAGTTGCCGGGCACAGTTTTCAGACAACTTGCACGTTTTTCAGATCCTTTGAAAATCGCTGCTTGGTAGCACTGTAACAGATTTCGGTAATCCTCAACCACATGGGTTTTGGGGTTTTTTTTAAGGTGCCTTAACTGCTTGCCCAGCCTTTAGCGTGTGTGTACGTACACGTTGTGGTTTGTTTTATTACATTGCACACACGTGTGTGTGTGCACGTGTGCGTTTTTGGTACCAGTCATGTGGTTTGTTTTGTAGTTGAACACCTTTAAAATCTGAACATCTTGGTTGTGCGGCATCTTTAATTTTTTTTCTTAACTTGCTTTCTCTTTCACTGCATTAGCCCTTGCTTAGCAAGCCCTTCTGTAATGGGAATTGGTTTAAATATCGTTATATATATTTATTTTTAAAAATATTTAAGAAATTTTACATTTTGTGGTCTTTCTGCACTGGGCAGTAATTTTGTGTTCAGTAATGTGATCTAATTTGCCCTTTTCAGAAGTTTCTTTACTCATATGTACATTTTTGGATTTTCAAAAAATTTTCACTAGTGGTATTTTGTTGCTGCTTATTTGAAATGGTCATTTCCCACATAGCCCGAAGGTAATTTAACAAAGTATTGCTTTATACAGTGAATATCTTCTTGGGAAAGTATTGTTAACCAAACACATCCCAATATGTACATACTATCATGAAAACTGTATTCATAGAGTGCGATTTAGCATGTTCAACTTCCAACTCCATTGCCCCTTTCTTAATACACTAGAAGAACCATGGTTCTCTCAATATAAACTAGTTTTTGAAGGAACGTTATTTCATATACTTGAACGTAGTGACATTTCAGTTAACCTTCCTGACTACCAGTAATCACAGGAATGGAATTTACATGGTGATAATACCCCAATCCAGTGAGGTACCTTTCTTGATACTGAGCTTTTACAGACTTCTTAAACGGTCAGAACACCTGAACAGTCTCTCTTAAAGATTTAGGATAATCATTTTGTGTCACAGGACAAACTTTCTTTTTATTAAAAGCTCTTGCATTTGCATCAATACTTGTTTGAAATCAGGAATCTTATCTAAAATGCATAGGTCTCTCTTCTCAAACTACCTTTATTCCCCAAGCCATGTCAGCAGTTAGGGAGAAGCAAAACCTCCTTTGTGAAGAGGGTATTAGGAGTGGAAAGTTAATGCCATATGTAACACTTAAACATTTTTAAAACATTCCAATAGTAATTAATGAGTATAAAGTAGAAAATAATGGTTATTTAAAACATTTGTTAGTCAAAGTAACTTGTTTTTAAACACAATTACTGCTAAAAATTTAAGTTACACTTTCTTAGAAGTTATTATTTTACTGTTTTTTAACATACAGAGCAATGCACAAATCTTTACAGCTTAATCAATTTTTACATAGTGAATATATGTATGTAACCAGAATCCAGATCAGGAAATTAACAATACCTGTAACTCAAAAGCTATTGCATTTCTCCTCCTAATCAGTACTCTGCCTTTTTGTCTTTTAGGACTATAGAATAGTTCTGTTTTTGAACTTTATAGGTTGACTTTTAGAATGTATACTTTTTTGTGCTGCCCCCTTGTGCTCTTTGTTTATTTTACTCTTCAAAATACTCAAATATTTTTCTCCATTTGGTTTGCATTTTAATTCTACAAATTATTAGTACATTTATATGATTGCTGTTAAAAAGTGGGTTCTGTTGCACTCTAAAGAAATTTGGTGCCACTATTTTGGAAACAAACTTTGTTACAAATTTAAGCACAGATAAAGTACAGGTTTCAATTCATGAAACATTTTCTGTAGTAATGCTATCAAAGTAAACTAAAAAATGAGTGGGTTTTTAAAACCAGTGACAGTTTCATCATCTGAATTATATAGTTTGATCAAATATAAACATTTGATTTAATATTTTTCTATTTTTCTCTTAAAAAGTGATATGTATTGAATATCTATTTGAGCACATTTAATTCCAAACAGTCTCACATTGACCCAAAGATACCTTTCCCCAATAACCCAGTTATTCAGGAAGATTCTTAAATTCTATCTTAACAGAGCAGATATATTGGATTTTTATTTTAAAGACATTTTTGTCGGGCGCCTGGGTGGCTCAGTTGGTTAAGCGACTGCCTTCGGCTCAGGTCATGATCCTGGAGTCCCGGGATCGAGCCCTGCATCGGGCTCCCTGCTCAGTGAGGAGCCTGCTTCTCCCTCTAACCCTTCCCCCTTTCATGTACTCTCTCACTCTCTCAAAATAATCTTAAAAAAATACATTTTTGTCGATAAAAATCCCTTACACATGAAATGCTGCCACAAATATTTTGGAGACTTAACTTGTACTTGTTATTCTTGGAGGTGATACCGCATCATTTTACTTGGTTCTTAAGTATCTAACAAAGGCTTAGATGCACAGTATTCATATTAACCTATTATTAAGAATTATTAACCTATAAATATGTTGTGGGCTTTTTTCCCTTCTTTTTTTGACAGAAACATTTAGAATAAGTCATGATATTTTTCAGGGCTGACTATCAGGTTCATTTAAGTAGTTTTTTTGAAATATTCTCTGGATCCTGGCCTTGTCAGAATAGTTAAAAGTTCCAAGGAGATTCTTTTTTTTTCTCTTTAAGACCAAGAGTTTCAGGCCAAAACAGGTAACCAGAGACAGTATATAGAAAATTTCTATCACCTCAGCACTCCAAAGATTGATGCACAGTTGGAATTTTTTTCCTTCTAAGATTGTTAAAAAGTCACTTGTACGTTACTTGGTTTTTCAGCTCTTTCCTTGACAAAAAAGGGAAAGGACTACTCTCCACAGATAATTAAGGTTTGCAGACATGCATCAGAAATTTATTTTCTGCATGTTTTATAAACAGCTTACCTTTTCAGCTGGTCAATAGTTTATTCTTGTTAAGGTATAAAGAGAAAACATTAGGAGTTAATATAGATACATAGGGAAACTCTAAATAATTGATGATGTGTCTATAAGGTATATTTTTTTTCAAGAAAGATGTGTATACACACACACACGATATATTTGGCTGAGCAAGGGCTTTTACTTCCAGGCATCCCATGTGGGAGAGCCACCAGGCACTACCAGGGTTTTATCAGTATTTTCTTGGTAGTTGTCTGCTGATAAAATGTTATACTGTATTTAGCAGATTTTAAATGTTCATGGGCAAACAGCACTATGAGAACTGGAAAAGTCACTATGATAACAGAAGTAAAACATGACATTTTTATGAGACAGAGTTTGGTGTGATAGAAACTATAGGTGGGGTTTTGAAGTCAGACAGACTTAGGGTTGAAAACTGGCTCCAGTTCTTGCTCACACTAACTTCAGCCAAGTTATCTAACTATCTGATGCTCAGGGGTTTTTTTTAATATAAAATTTGAGATAATAAAAATAGATACTTTATAAACTCCAATGAGAAGTCTTTCCTGACCACTGGGTTAAGATATTTTCTTCTGTGTGTGTCACGGTTCTCACAATTTACTTATTTGTATGGTTGTGTGGCTAGACCACAGACTCTTTGATGGGTGGGGACTAGCCTGAATTATTTCCATAAGCCTAGAGTCCAGAACATGGTGTTTAGAATTTTTTATGTCTTACATGACCAATCTTTTTTTGCAAAACTTGTAGTATCACTGCTTTCCTGACTTTTTTGTTTCATAATATAACCCTCAGCTTCTGATCCACTCTTAAATTGCATCTGCATTAGATAATTCCATGAAGGCTTTCCAAATGCAAAGTGAATGATGCAGATAGGCCTTTTGTAAATTTGTCAATTGGAGGAATTGTTAAATTAGTATATAAGCCTGCTAATTATATGTTGGTTTGATTTTCTAGATGAACAGCAAAGATTTTCAGGATTGCTTTGAAAGAATCTTTGATGTGAACCATTGATCAGTGGAATTTTCAAGCGGAGGTGAGCGTTTCCATGTTTCCAACGAGACAGCTCATCTGATTTTCCTCCGACATCTTGGGACACTCCTTACCTGTCTATTCCACTGATTCCTCTTGCCCTGGTGGTTATACTGTTGTACATGAACAGACTCTTACTTTAACACCTATGGCCTTTTGTTGTGCTTTTTTGATGTGTCTGCCTTCTCCATTAGACTGTGATATCCTTGAGAGCAAGGACCACCTTTCCTTACTCTTTGCATATTCTCTATTTGAAACACCACTTGAAATATGATTGACATCACTGAAGGTTCTTTGATTCAAGTCATATTTTGTAATCACCATGTGGCAAAACATTCCCCTTTTAATCTGGTGCTAGTAGAATATATGCTGTCTAGGCACCATGTATGTGGTTTTTCTGTATCAGGCGTTTCAGAAACTTTTCAAGGCAGTTGTAAGATGTTCAAGGATGAGAATTATTACTCATATTTCTGTGTCATACCACACAGTGGCTAGCACCAATTTGAGATTATCCCATCACATAGGGCAATATTTTGTAGAATCAGTCCTTTGTGTAACAACTTCAGTATTTTTGTACTGTTGTTACTTTGCTGAAAATTTTATTCAAAAAATATCACTTGCTATAAAACTAACTATAAAATAAATACAATGAACACAAGATAATGTGAATTTTTATAAAAATAAATTTTAAGATGATATACAAATGATATATTTAATGTTTTTGCAATGCCCTAAGCACTTCTTTCATGTAATCTTAACATCCCTTTGAAGAAGATTGTTTTTCTCATTTTATAGGTTCAGTATACTGTATTATTTGATGCCAGAGCCAACAAAAACTGCAATACATGCAGTTTCCAAAGTTAATTACACCACTTACTTTGCCTAGGTTTCTTTTGCGTCTC